TAGTAGATATTTCACGAAGATATACTTTTAGATTTACATTTTTTTTTAATTTAAATTATAATAAGTTTATTATTATTAGATTTATATACGATATATTTAAATTTATATGATTAAATTATCATGTTAACACCAGATGAAATCGAACTGACATTCATAAAGAGCATATTGCATTACTCAAAATTTCAAATTACGAAAGGTGAATAATAAAAAGAAATTATGTTGAAAATCAAAGAAAAAAAGTTTGCATGCGGCTGGATATCTAGGCCGAAATAAACGGTGGTACGACGTATGTACAGTTACAATATCGGGGAGGAGCGGGGTTAAAAAAAATCTGAAAGATTTTATTTTTAAATTCTGAGTTAAAAAAAAAAACTGACAAAAAATTTGGATTCGCAGATCAAGTAACCATTTGTTATCTTTTATTTTCCTATTTATTTCGTAACAAATTAACCGGGATAATATTTTGAGCTACCGACTTACATATTTATTATATGTAAATCACTTCAATCGATCCAATAGTTTCGGAAAAAAATCGTCTGTGTGCGCAAACGGCTATTAAAATTCTCATTAGTTTAAAGTGAAATTACCGATACAAATTTAGAACGTTCATTAGAGCTCAGTCATTAATCAATAAAAATTATTTGTGTTATGGACGAGTGATCCTACAAGGGTACTGATTTTCCTTTTTTTGTGTGGAACTTTAAGTGGCGCAAATGTCTTTTGAAAAATGCAAAATTCGCTTTTAGTTTTCTATCTTTCGGCACATTCAATAGAATATAAAGGATCCCGACGCGATCTACCTACACACTATTTTTGTTTGTTTTGTCAGGTTCGGAAGTGACATACAGTGACATCCACTTTGTTCGGTATCCAATTACCACTAAGACGCTCTTGTTAGTTTCACACTAAAATAACTTATTTCGAGTGCGTTCAAACTTGCACTTTTAATAATAGTTTTTCTTCGTTGTTCAAGTAAAGGTATGTAAACTTGCTTTTTCTATATTTTCACACGAAAAATTTAAGGCAAACTATTTTTATAGCGTGGATAAAAAAACGTTACAGTTTTCAGATTTTTCGAATCATTCACACGAAACCAGTCAAGGATTTTAGAAAATGTTATATTTTTTTAGAAACACGCGATAAAAAAAAAACTTTTTTTTTTCTTTTTAAAGACACCTACTGATAAAACATAATTAAAATATTAAGATTTATTGAAACGCTTCAACATCAGAGATATGAATGAGTCCAACTTATAGAAGAAAGCTTTGCAAAGCAAAATGAAAATCTAACCTACTAGGAGCATAAGTATGTCGTAGCCAAGTAGTATAATCAGCCGGCGGCTAGCCCTTTAATTGAATAGCGCCATTAATTTAACGGGCTGACTTTTGATCAGCCGAGTAGCTGTCAATGTCTTAACTATCAATTCATAGGGAACATCATAATAATTGGTAGGATTAGAAGTAAAAAAAATAAATATTATAATGGGTGATTTTAAAAAATATTCAAAATCTTGTTACCAAAAAGATAACAACAAACTGCTCGTTCGCGGCTGAGTGTTAATGGTCCGTATGATTCAATACAGAAAGATAACGCAAGGTGAGTTAAGCTTAAACTTTCATAATATATTCTTAATACTTATACAATAATACAAAGAGAAGATATACCTATTACGATTTCGAAGTTTGATGCTACAATGGTTAATAACAACATAAAATGATAAACAACGAAGATATTTGGTTCTGTAGGTCTGTGTGATAGTTAAGAAATTTAGAAGTTTTTTTTTAACATATAACAAAACTAAATTAACATTTTGCCGGCTTTTGAATCAGCCGTTTTGTTGAACGGTCAAATGTCATAATTATTCAACTATTGAACAGCCTCATACAATTAAATAGCTAGCTGCTCAGTTGAATGACTATTTTAACTAATTGGCGGTGACATTTCAAAAAGTAAATGTATGATAAAAATAACATAGTGCGGCAGACATTAAACTATAATAACTCTATTTATATCTCTTTGACATTCATTAATTGAAAATAATGAATCATCTTCGCTCAACATTTAACGTTCTGAAAGTGTTTATAATGTAAACAGATACTCTTGACATTGCTCCCGGTTTCATAGTAATATTTTAAACAGAATGTTCTATGTCTAAAACACCCAGAAACATATATGTTCCGATTTCTTATATTTTCACGCGACTATTCATTAACTTTAAAGCTTTTTTTAAGGCTTTCATGACGTTTCCTTTACAAGTTCCGTAACCTGTAAAGGATTCGATAAGTCATAAAAGCAAACACAAGCGCGCTGAAATCGTTAAAGTTGTTTTATTTAAAATATATATATTTCTTCAATATTTTAAAGAGATGAAAAGTTTCTAAGTTTGTTTGAATGTTTGTACGGGTATTTTAATTGGAAATACTGGTTCAGATCGTGAAAATTCTATCATATACAGAAAGTTACATCATAGGTTATATTTTATAAGTCGTAAGAAAACTAGCTGTTCGGTTAAAAGTATATTTTTTTTAATACGTATTAAATAATGATATTACATAATCGTAGTTATTTAACAGAAAAGTAATAGTTAATGTTATTATGATTTGCATAAAAATTTAGACTGGTCTACTTTTTCTTTCAAGTTGATCATGTACTATAAATATTATTTTTATTCTCGGGGTAGATGCCACCAGATACGGTTATTTTCTTATTTATTTGTTGCTGGAAATAATAGGAACCAACAATAGTTTTTGAGCTTGCTTAGTTTTGTGACTAAACATAAATTAAACTGATTTCAACTTATTCAAAAAATTTTGAGTTTTCGCCGAAAACCGCATTCTTTTTTAGTACGAGGGTCAAACTGAAAGTTCTTAGAAAATCAAAAACTGATTACATTAGCCAGTTATTAGTTTTATTATATCTTTTCAAAATATTGTCCATTCACGTCAATACACCGCTGCATGCGATGGAACCACTGGGAAAAGCACTTTGCCCACTCGTCCTTAGGGGTCTCTTCAATGGCATCGCGATACGCAGCCACCGCTTCTTCAGCATTCATAAACCGCTTTCCTTTAAGTTTTTCTTTAATTTTTGGAAATAAATAAAAATCACAAGGCGCGAGGTCGGGGCTATACGGCGGGTGACCCAGTAATTCAACGTTTGATGTCGCCAAATAGTCGATCGTTCGCTTGGCGGTTTGCGACGAGGCGTTGTCGTGGTGAAGGAAGATCCTACTGCGAGGTCGTTTCTCTCGAACTTTTTCCAAGACAAGTGGCAAACAATTGGTAGTGTACCATTCTGCAGAAACTGTTTTTTGATCCTCTAACACAATTGTTGCAAAAATGACCTATCCTTCCAAAGAACGAGGCCACCATTTTTTTTCCCGCACTTCGATCTCTCTTCACTTTAGTTGGCAACTCGAAAGGAAACACCCACTGAGCAGATTGTCTTTTGGTTTTAGGATCATAACAGTAAATCCAGCTTTCGTCACCTGTTAGTATGTCGAACACAGCATTTGAGTCACCTCCGTTAAATCTTTCAATCATTTTACGACACCAATCCACACGATGGAGTTTTTGAGCCTCAGTCAAATTATGAGGTATCCACCGGGCGCAAAGCTTCCTGACCGCTAAATGTTCGTGGAGGATTTTGTGCACTTGACTCATACCGATGCCTAAGCTTGTCCGAATCTGTTGATAGGTCACTCTTTTGTCAGTCTCTATCATACGCCGCACAACACAGATGTTATCTTCAGTCGTCGCCGTAGAAGGCCGTCCCTCACGTAAATCATCAGTGAGATTAGTGCGACCACGTTTAAACTCATTAAACCAGTTGTAAACAGTCGCACGAGATGGGGCTTCATCGTGAAAGGCCAATCGTAGTCTATCATAACTTTCTTGTTGACTTAAATGACATCGAAAGTCATAAAAAATCATTGCACGAAAATTTTCTCGTGTTAAATTCATGATGACGTGACACAGACAATTTTCAATTTGCCGCCAAATCGTAAAACAAATGACAAATGAATGAAATATATACTCAGTAATATTGGCAAAGAGTTATATTTTCAAATTTTAGAATTATTTTTTTATTATATTGTTTATAAGTGGCCAGTTCTAAGAACTTTCAGTTTGACCCTCGTACTTAAACTGAAACATTACCCAAATAAAAGAATTCGCCAGATAAGAATCTAACTTCAATAAGCTATTACCACTCTATTACTCCCTTTGAAAAAGCCACCATAAATCAACGATTATGCTAGTTATTTTGTAAGCTACATTTTTACTAAGAATATTATCTAACTTCAAAAAATATATTCTTTTTTTAAATACTTTTTGAGAAACTCGCAAAAAACTGAGAGAAAACTCGAGTTTATTGGTTGAAAATAATACTTTTTCACTCTCGAATGAGTCGATAAACATCAACTTTCAGAAAAAAACTTTATCACACAAAGTTGCTTATAATTAATAAATCCGTCCATTACCTACGGATTTTATGATAATTAAAGTTTTTGCACTCCCAAAAAAGGAACCAGACTGGATATACAATCGAGAGTACTTACGGAAATATGAGCACCACCACGACTCGAACCTGTGCCAGCTAAGCCAACACTTTCTACAATTCTTACAATCTTAGACCCGTATTTGCTACGTGTATTAATCATTAAAAATATGAAGATATTAAAATAGCGGCTTGACATATTTTCACAATGAAAAAAGTGAAAAAGAACAAATGACAGTCAAAAGCTTTTTCCTTAATACTGTTGTCATAGCGTTATAGTGGTTTGAGGTTATGAATACATGCAACCTCTTTGTAAATTTATAGAGTATGAGCCGGGGACACAAAACAACAAACCGCAGAAAGCTTACCAGATTTCTCTAAAGGTGCATTCTTAGGGAAATATATAGGTAGCTCAAAAAAAAAAATTGAGAAAAGGCGGTTTAGCAAATCCAAGATTAGAAGAATAAAAAAATACAAAGTCAATAATTCAGTTCAGCTATATAATTTATTATTCAGCTTATTTACTTTCTTAATTTAATACATTTTAAATAGGTAAGTTATCTTTGGTTTTAAACAATAAAGGACGTTATGAACTTCGATATTCGCACATCTTCTTTTTCATTAAAGACTAATAACTCTTGTCAGAAATTAAACATTGTTCATAAGATTCTCCGATGAATACGATCTCATTTCGTAATAATTGTCCTTGTATGAATAATCACAGTACTGTATGTGTGTCGATTCGTTCATAGCATCGTCATATCCCTTGTCTTCGTATTCATTGTCTAAATACTCCTGACCGTATTGTTCGATGCAGTCGTTGCTGTGATTGTCGTTTCTCGATTGTGTGTTATTTCGATTTGTCGAATCGCTTAATTGTCCATTGAAGTTCCATCTTTGTGATATTGAACAGCCTATGGTCCCTCCATGTTGGAAAGTGAACGGCCATGCCTGTAATACACAATAATAATTGAAGAACTAAAAAATATGACAATATCTAAAGGCCGGAATAATAATATTGGAGAAACAAACAAACAAAACCAATTTGATTGTCTGTCAGGTAGATTATTGAAGAAAATTTAATACATCGTAATCAATAAATTACAGCGATACATCGAGTTGAAATGTACATTTTCTACAAAACCATGACGTAACGAGCCCCCACTCCTCAACATCTATGCCATTTATTGAAGCAAAATAAATACGTATCTAATATTTTTCTGTTATCTGACTAACGGACTAAATAGAATTTCTTTTTTTACCTACTCGTTATCCCTATTGTATCAAATGTTTACAATATCATTTATGTATAAACTAGCTTTCCGCCAGCGGCTTCGCTTGTATTATACATAAAAACCTTCCTTTTGAATCACCCTATCTATGAAAAAAAAAATCGCATCAAATCCGTTGCTAAGTGTTAAAGATTTAAGCATACATAGGGATATAGGGTCAGAGAAATCGACTTTGTTTTATACTATGTAGTGATTATGAGTAGCTCGGTGGCGTAGTGGATAAGCGCCGCGGCCCGCGATCGTAGTCGTTAAGCAACTTTCGCAAGGGTCGGTCACGGGATGGGTGACCAAATATTATTATCTCTAGCTACTCCGTGCTTCGGAAGGCACGTTAAGCCGTTGGTCCCGGCTGCATTTGCAGTCGTTAATACCCTCCAATCCGCATTGGGCCAGCGTGGAGGGTCAAGGCCCATCCTCCTTAACCATCCATAAGGAAGGCCTGAGCCCCTGCAGTGGGGACGTAAAAGGGCTGGTGATGATGATGTAGTGATAGACCCAACCGAACTCTAAAGCAGCTAACACTACCACATGTCCAGTTAATGGAAGTATCACTAGATTTATTTTTAAATAGAGAATATGTCATTATTTCATATTTGTCTTGGACTCAAGACAATCCATAGAAGTTCATTTTCTAAGTAGATCCGATTAGAAATCGAGCCCGGAACCTGAAAGGTCGTAAGGACATTTTGGCGCTTTAACAGAGTGGCATCAGTCTGAGAGCCACTCTGCGATAATGCGGGTTTAAATATGATATTATTCGTTAGACTCTAAAGATATTATTCGAGAAATCGGTGAACGATGTTTTTACTACGTGTCTCTATTTATTTTAATTTTGTTGTCCTCCATAATTAACATTGCAGCATATTTAGAAATTCATAAAATTAAATTAGTGATTTAAAAAAATAATTAACAGCTATTTAGATATTCATATAATTTAATTAGTGATTTAAAAAATACAAGTACACCAACAGGTTTTATTCTTAAATGACTTTGAAATAATGACAAGGTAAAATTTATTGTCGTCGTTGCCTAATGCCTTTGTGTTTTTGACGTTTTAGCTTCAAAATAAAGTGGATTCATCGTGTAAATAATACGTAGCATCTTCGGGGGTAACAATAAAACCTCTTTAACGTCCGGAGATAAACTTTATTTATACGCACCGACAGCTGCAAACTTTTGGTCAGCGCGCGCGCACCATCTCAGTTTGTTGTTACAAACTTTTTTGTTTCTATCTCCACAGCATTTTGGCTTTGTTTGTGTTTTACAGAAAGATCGGAAGAGGACTTTTATTTTTTTAATACGCGAACTGGAATGTTTATTTTGTTTTCGCTTCGAAGTGGAACACACAAGATGACATGCTATAAGAAATTAAGACTATACCGTGGTAAAGAAATAATAGAGTTAGTTATACGGAATATAAAAAAAAAATCTATTGTTTGTTAGTATTATGCATGTAGGTTTAAAGATTTTTAATGCCGAAAAATATCCTTAATGATTTTCAAGCTTCGTTTCAATGGTAAGATAAATTCTATTGTAGTGTTTAGAAGCCAATAAGTTTAGGTACTGTAAATTAAGGTTAACATTATATTTTAAATTTTATTTTAATCATGAGAAAGAATTGATTATCGTTGTATTTGGAAGATAACTTTGTATTTTTTTTTAAACAAAATATCTAAATGTTCACATTTTAGCTCAATGTGATCTCGTCAAATATATCGTAGATCAGTTTATTTAGATTTTTTATATATTAATAACGGACTCGACAAACGTCGTTTTGCCATATAAAAATGGGAAACCACCATAATCACTTCATCATTACCACCAGGCTATTAATGTCCCCTCTGCTGGGGCTCAGTAATAGGGAGAATGGACCACTACCCACCACGTGGTTCCAGTACGTATTGGTGGGTATTAACCACTGCAGATGCAGCCGGGATCAACGGCTTAAAGTGCCTTCCCAAGCGCGGAGGAGTTCGAGAGGCTCTCATTATATGACTTGCCATTGCGTAAACTTTTGCTTAACCAACGTATCGCAGACCGAACGCGCTAGCCACTGCACCATCGAGCTCCTCACTTATCACTTAGAGGTACAAAAATAGATAAAACCTATCTCAGACCTGTAGGTCGTAGTATGTATACTACATATAACATTTCATCAAAATCGGTGTAGCCGTTTCGTAGGAGTAACTAAACAACTAAACTGTGAAACGAAAATTTTATATATTATATTATACTTTATCAATTTTTCATTTCAGAATAATTCTCCATTCACCAACATTCTTTGATTACCTTGTAATTTCTTGTTTTGATTACTATAAATATTGCTTTTTAATTAATTAAGTAATTGTAATGTTTTTCTACTTTTATTTATTCCTAATAGTTCTGATAACGAGTTCCAAAGCCGAACAGCGTACAAGGAAAAGGAATAGAATGAAAGAATCTTATATCACTTCGATATTTGAGAACAATAAAATGAGTTTTAGTTTTTCTGATAATCTATATAAATAAATTTTCAGTGTCTGTTTTTAACATTAAAGTAACCACTTTTTACTAAATATAGGTACATGATGTATGTACGAGTATTACATTTTTTGTCTATCTCTCTATTTGTTCCTACTAATCTCAGAAACTGCTGGACCGATTTTGACTTTCACTGGAAGACAGCTTATGTAATAAGGATTGACTTAGGCTACTTTTCACGTGGACGAAGTTGCGGGCACAGCTAGTAAAGGGTAAATTAACTTATATAAGGTACTACTTGAGTATGGAAATCGGACTCACGGACACATGGTTCCGCACATAAATTAAATCACTCAGTGATTTCAATTTAACATGGAAGTTACTAAACCATACACTTGACTGTCTGCCACTTTTAACATTATTTAGGTTTCGCGTATTTGCTGCTCATTCGCCAATTCCAAGTCTAAAATTGTTTTGTGGGATTTTCTGATCAAAGATGACTATGACTGTTGTATTGTTATCAAATGCGTGGTAATATACGTTATGTTATTTTTCTGTTTTAAAGTAGTTTCAAGCACTGCTCTTACTCTTATAAACTTTTAAGTATGTCTAATCTCATCTGCGTAATTTTCGTAAAAAAGTCTTATTTCATTTTGTGGCATTATTTCTTTTTGTGGTCTCAGTCAGAAAAAGTTTGTAAACTATTATTTGACGGCTGAAAGTTTGCTGAACAAATTTGATGACGGATACCCAATGTTATATATCTTTGTAAAAAAAATGTTGCATGTGGTATTCACCTGTAATTGTTTGATACATTTTTTCTTGTGTGCTAAATTATTGTATGTAATAATATATTAAATGTTGGTAAATCAAAATAAAAATAAATTACAAAACTGTAGTGGTACAAATATTTTCCTGTGATATCTATATACATATAGAACTCTTTCATATATTTAAAAATATGGGCTAATAGTTTCAAATGCTATAATTTTTGTCTATTTTCCTAAATAACAAAACTACTTGTTACAATTATATGTATGTTAAAAAAATAATATACTCACTATAAGCTTTAATTATAGGTAGTCATTTAACAAAGTGGAACTTGCAAAACTCTAGTTTCTGTGTTACATCTAGCGTCTATCGTGCCTGTTTATTTAAGTTAATAATCAAAAGCCGCTATATTTCAAATTAATTTGTATTATTTGTTATAAATACGCCTGATTTTGGGTCATTATGTTATATAGGGTATTAAATTTCAATTTAATTTGTCTGCAATTTCGAAGATGAAATGGCTCTAAAAATATTGAAAGGGATTTTATTTTGATATGCTATAAATTTTAATAATATACCTAATAATCAACATTATTTCTACAACTGTTAGATTTTCTTATATCAAACAATAAAACGGCTCTTTATTCGTAAATTTCATAAATTCTAATGTATAAATCGAACACTGTTTTATCTTCTTTAAAATTGGTAATAAAATTTATTTAAAATTTCCTTTCGAAGCAACAGAGTAGCGCTTTGAAAAGAAAATTATAAATAAATAACCAGAACGTTCATCAAAAAGTAATAAACATATTTTTGTGTAGATTACCTGTGACATTGCCAGAAGGCCTACTCTCTTTCTCCGAATACGAAATTTAGTCTACTTTTGAAACGCTAATCATATAACTCCTATAAAATCCATTTTTCGATTATTTATGATGCTCAGGAATTAATTAATTATTTATAATTTATTCATATAGGACGTGACAATGCCTCTGATGCATAGATAATCTTCATGGATATGATTTAAAAAAATATAAGAAAAATTCGAAATCCGAATTTTTCGTTCGTATACAACCAGAGTAGGTTCTCAGGTTATTACTCCCGTTGTGTTATAAATAATAAAAAATGCTTTCAATAAAAGAATGAGCGAATTTCAAAAAGGGGCATGGTAAAAAAATCTGTAAGGAGAGCTTATTAAAAATATACTTATCTTCATTTTCAGTGAAACAAAGTAGACTCTCATAAATAGAAAGAAATTTTAATTCTAAGCGAGCACTTAACAAAGTTTTTTGAATGGGAAACAATACAAAGTAGAATTAATGACTAATTTCAACCAAACATTAATGGTGTTTTGTTTAAAAGGAAGTTCGTGAATAAATCCTAAATACTAATCTCCCATCGATCACTCAAGCCATCGGAGACTAATCTTTATTGACAGTGGTTTAGTTTTGGTTGTATCGATCGTTTTAAATCCATTAATTTTACAGACAACATCACATGAAGAATGTGTACAGTCGATATCACGTCAGGTAACGACAAAAGATCTCTCTTATCTATTTAAAGCAATAATCAGTTCAAAATTACAGAAAATTGACTTGCTGAATGACGAACGCTTCAACGATCGCTATAAGGATATCACCCTATATACAGTACTTTTTATTGCAGGTCTCATGAACCTTATATGTATATACACAATCATATAAATAAAAACAAAAGAAAAGAAAGTAATTCTATTTCATCATTTATATAACCGATGAATCAATTACATACTCAAACAGTATTACTCTACTATTCCACTCAACAACTTTAAAACTAGAAATGTTGTAAAAAATCTTAGGTTACCTCGATACGTTTTTATTTTTTGTATACCAACCTATGTATATGTTATTCTAAATCAATTTATCCACAATGCAGATGTCTTTTTTTTTCACCAAAATTCCTTAGAAAATGGGCGTATGATTTGTGTACGGTTGCGGTTAGCTCGTGCCGACACGAAGAATTAACTGGATGACAAGTGTGACAGAAGATATATAGCGCACAATTAATGCCAGACCCAAAAACCGAGAGACATTTTTTTCATTAGGATATGCTCGTTAGTCAACGATTAACTTATGCGAATAATTCTCAAAACATTCTTCAATTACAATTATCATAAATTATCATGAAAATAAAAGAGAAAGTGACAAAAATTATAATATTTTTCATTTGATTTTTATACATCTTTATTTTTTTCACGTTATCAAAGTTTACAATGATTTATCATTTCGTTTATATTATAATAATATTTTATGTGTGGTAATTGATGATTTATACTTTATAATAAAGCAGTAGGCAATTAAACATCAGGATATTAGGTTGTTCGTATACGCTGGTTTCAAGGTGCCTTTCGACTACAGAGATCATCTTCGTCGTATATGAATAGTATACTAGAAAGTCTATTCTATTACTCCAAAAATTCGTAGCAATTTTGTAAAAATAAACGAAACTTTCGTATTCGGCGAAATAGAAAAGATCCTCAGATACCATAGATCAGATACCGACCAGACTCAGTGGGTGAGGCGGCGTATGCGCAGATCGTGGCTCGTGTAGAAGCGCGCGTAGGTGGGCGATGTATGATGCAGCCAGCCGCAGAGTGTCCAATTTTGATAGCTTAGTGTCAGCTGGCACCCATGGAAGAGTAGTCTTCAACCTGTACAATCAATGCTTTTTAGCTTTTTGAAAATTAGTTCTGCCGAAATAAGAACGCGAAAAATACACGCGGCAATATCTCCAGAAAGAAAATTCTCAATGTATAACTCCAGGACTTCCAAAGAGAAGTCTTATTCGTGTTTCAAACTAGTCTCGACCGGCTAGGTCTGACTGCTGACTCTATGTCGTAGTCTGTAAAGGATAGTCACCACAATATAGTCCATGAAAATACATTCAATTTTAATTTAAAATGGACTTGAACCCATAAGTTTTCACTGACCCGGTGACTGCTCTACAAATTCAGCAGCTTACGTAAGACCTTAACAATTGGTTCATGTTAATTTCGCTGCTATATTTATGTAAATATAACATGACTAAAATTTGCTACATTAAACAGCTAGTTTAAGCTTTTCCAAATTTTTTACTTTTATCAATGATGATAATAAAAAGTATAATATTAATTATTACATGATATTTATATAATTGCACGTTGTAGTATTTAAATATTAGTATTTTACCTGCAAAATGCCTTTGACAATACTCTCATTCTAGCCCGTTCTCTTGCATTGGCTGCATTTCTATGCTGTGGTTCTTGTGTACTACGGCCTACATGGGAAAAGATGAAAATGTTTTTAAAAATGTAACCATCTATGTGGTTGAACATACACGAAGTAACAACCTGTAAAACCTATATTTAACACCGTATATATTTCCGTATTTTGTTATTGCAATAGATTTCTGTAGATAGAGTCAATAAGAGAAAGCACGTTTTCTGGAAAATAGACAATGACAAAAATAAGAAGTGTGTATGGCGCAGCCAACTGATGAAAACAGCTGTTCAATTTGGCTGCTAACTATTTAATTGGATGGCACCATTCAATTGCACACCTAGTTTTCTAGTTGAATCATTATGACATTTGGACCGTTCAACAAGGCGGCTGATTTAAAAGCTGCCAAAATGTGACCTACAGGACAAAAATAACTTCGTTGTTTATCATTTTATGTTGTTACTAACTTTTGCCCGCGACTTTCCCCACGTGATCTAGTTTTAAGTCCAGAAATGAGAAAATTCCATAAAAACGTTCATCCCCTTATTTACTCCCTTAGGGTTTGATTTCCGTAAAATCCCGTCTGAGTAAGCACCTATATCCTAAAAAAACCCGCATGCAAATTTTAAAACTCCTAGCACTTGTGTAACGAAGTTTCATACAAACGTTCATCTCCTAATTCCAAATTTCAACTTTCTACGCACAGTAGTTTCGGCTGTACGTTGTCTGTCAGGTTTGAAGTTTTACAGAATCGCAGGGCTATACTGTATCAATTACAATTCGTAACAAGAACAAGGTGTTTTTGAGTTCGTCGGCGTGGTATAGTTACTTTGGGCAGAATACATTTTCCAAAAACGCTGTTGTTTTTCGAGCTGATGATGAAATTACCTTAATATTAAATTCGAAGATACTACAACAATAAAAGCAACAAATATCTAATATGTTTTAGCACTTTATCTTTGAAAACTTTAGAGATATTAATCCAATCCAATCCAATTTGAAAAAATAGTTCTGAAGTTTACACAAATCTTAATCGAAAAAAAAATGCATTTTTCGAGTCACTTAGTCGCGTAGCGGATAAACGCCGCGGCCCGCGGTCGTTGTAGTTAAGCAACTTTCGCAAAGGTCAGTCACGGAATGGGTGACCTAAAATTTAGTATTTCGAGCTACTCCGTGTTTCGGAAGGCACGTAAAGCCCGACAGGCCATTTGTTTATATCGTTTAAGCGTCAACGTTAAATGATATTTCAATCTTTGGATAATGATATGCCAACGTTTGGTCATATCATTAATGTAGGTATCATTAATGTCTAAAAAAGAAATCTAATTATTTTTTGAAATAGCTTGTTTTTTCGTCAGAGTAATGATTATGTGGTCTGAAAAAAACAACCTCGAAATTCAATACGATCGCTACGGAATACGCATACTAGTGCTAGTTTTCGGGATAAAATATAACCTACTACCTTCCTAGGGTCATAAAATACCCAAATACCAATTTTCATCGACATCGATTCGTAAACAAAGATGTTTCATACAAACTGTTTCACCCTTTTTGACCCCCTTCGGAGTGGAATTTCTAAAAATCCGTTCTTAGTACACCTCTACGTATTAAGGGGAATGTTCTCTCCAGATTTCAAGTTTCTACGACCAGCGGTTTAGGCTGTGCGTTATCTGTCAGTCAGTAAGTCAGGACATCTCCTTTTATATATGTATAGATTATTTTACTTCTAATCCTATCAATAAATCTCGGTGTTCCCGGTGAGTTGATAGTTAATTAGCTACTCGGCTGATCGAAAGTCAGCCTGTTAATTGAATTGAAGAAAATAAAAAGGCTCATGCAATTAAAGGGCTAGCCTCCCATTTGGCGACATGTATAAGACATTACGTCCTATGTCAAAAAAATATATTGAAGGGTAGGGCTCTGGCAGTCCTGTGTACCATTTTTGATTACTAGTTCTAATTTTTATCATATGAAAATGAAAATAATTTATTTTGTATCCTATCAATAATACAAATAAAAACCAGCATTTGTCAATTATGACGCTATGCCTACACATAAATTTTGCCAATGTTCCGTAGTAATGGAGAGACGAAAGAAATTACTCGGATCAGTAAATAAGGTATTACTCGTTAAATCCTTCGGTTTTCATCAAAATCAGCACTTTCGTTCCAACTTAAATATGAGATAAATAATGTCTTATATGTGCAAACTATAATAGAATTTTTGTGATGAAAAAAAATTATTGATAAAGAAAAAAATGCTAAATAAACTAGTTACTTGACGATTTCATTTAAACCATTAAATTAGAATCAACTTCGGATTGGGTCATTTGTTGTACTCTCTCCTTATTATCTGTCTTCTACAGATACTAACCTGATTAAAAAACTGAATTATAGTCTACGTCACCCGTGACCCGCGTATAATGTAGCTTCCCGCAAGTACGAATATATCGTACTACATAGCCTCTTCCAATATCCTTTTGCTAACATCAACAACAAAAATGTTGTATTATTTTTCCTAAATATTTGTATAGAAGAAACCAACGAATTGTCATTCTAATAAATATTTAAGTAGATTGGATTTATATAAAAATGTATTTATTCCATACACGGATTATTCAGTTCTATTTAAAATAATTGAAAAAAGCAGTTAAATTTAGTAAAAGCTTAAATAACTTTTTCACGATATTAGATTACTTAATTTCTTACGTAACTGGTTTATTGTTTTACTTATGCAAAGTAACTTACCAGAGCTTGACTGCGTATCGTCAAAGAAAAAATCGTCATCATCACCCTCATCGCGCTTTTCTACGGGTGATTTATTTATACGTTTTCTAGGCATTTCAAAATAAAACACATCACAGAACTAGCAATTACAACACTAAAATTTTAATGATCAATTTAAAATTTATCAAGATCATTATCAATTGAAAACATATCACAACTTCAATATTCGTTTTTTAAATTCACCGGAGCGTTCTTGTCTATGCACTCGCCGTTTACAATTTAAGAATGCGAGATGCGAGCGCAAGGCGGGCGGCGCGGGCGCATCTCTTGGGCGGTGCTTACACATGCCCCTCCCGATCAGTAATCTCACCGTACTACCCCTTTGACGAATGAATGAGAATATTTTTAATTAAAATGACAATGGGGAAATCTAGCATATTATTATACCCAAAGAGTATGTATGCTAAGTACTACTAGCATTCTGCATATGCCTCATCTAATAATATAAAGAAGAAAAAATAGGATTGTTTGTTGAAATCGTATAGGCTCCAAAATCATTAGACTATTTTTGAAATTTTTCTACTTACAGGAAACTAGATCATGTGTGAATGACATAGGCTTTAATTTGCGCGGGTAAAGTCGCGGGTAAAACTAGCTTGTTGTAACAAAACTAGGTAGATTAGCTAAGATTCAGAAAGGACGGTCCACAATTGGAGGGTGTTTTCGAGTAAAGTAATAATAACTTTGTTTTGAATATAAAACGAATAATAACATTCAAAGTAAACTAAGCTTGTTTAATTTTAAAGAAAAGAAATTATTCCATATTCAAGGTGTCTATAAGGACCAATAGAACTATCGATGATCAAAAGATTAAAATCACACTACAAATAATTTTTCGTTACAGATTCCGGTGCTAGCTCATTTGAAAGTTAATTTTACTAACTATTCAAACCAATAAGACTGTCAATACAATAGAATCCCTCAAGTTTTTATAGAATTTGGGCTCTTTAAGCAATTAGCGCCGTCACAGTTCCTTGAAGTGACAGCGGGGTCGGGGGGCGGGATCACGCTTCCGCGACACTTAATACTTTATTTGTCGAAGACATGTGCCGAACACACCAACTAACACCGAGGTGCGACTGAACCGAGCTTTAACTATAAATCTTGTACCGAACAGTTTTTTTTAAATGATGTCATAATGAAATTGCTTTTGATATTATGAATAAAGAATTTGTCAAATACACCTCTTTTTGACGTCTCCCCTTGAGGATCTCCGTAGCCGAGTGGTTCGCAGGCTGGTTTCAAGGTGTCACAACCACTGAGGGTTCGAATCCCGGCCGGCTCAATGTGGAAAATGAACTTTTCAATATTGTGGTATCTTCGTCGTCTTAGATACTCCATAATATAAATTATTTATTTATTTGTTATATTAGAATGAACAATGTATCAGTAACGTTGTCTAATATTTTTAATGCACGTTTATGCGCGATTACCACGCATTTGGCTGAACCGATTTTGATGCGGTTATTCAGAAAAGTAGTTTTAGTGTTACCTTTTATATAAAAAAATATCAATATCACTAAAAAGCATGAAATTAAAACTTTAAAAAATAGAACTGTCCTCAAACTTAAACAAAGTGAAAAATAATACTTTTCTCAAAAGCGACTTATTCAAGTAGACTATTGAAGTAAGGCGCCTATCGTTTAATTAATAAGCTACAGAAAACCTCCGCCCGACTTTTTTTCACGGGCTAGCTGATTTCACACTTTCTTAAGTTTGAAATCAGCTCTATTTTTTAAGGTTTTGTTTAATGCCCTCTTTTTTTTCGTTCTTTGAATATGAGTGTATGTTGGCGGTTGCAAACATACAAAACTTTAAACCAGCTACTATTGGTATGGAAATTTTGTATGTTTAAAGACTAGTGTTAATCGGTGTATTTACCTACCATTATTGGTATCCGTGCTCTGCCTTCGGTGCTTATTTCCAGTGTTTTGCCTGGCTAAGATTCATTGAGCCCGGCGTTGGGTTGGGTGTAGCTGCCTATTTAACATCTTTATCAAACCACACCTATTATATCTTTGTATTTCATAACAATACATCATCGTGAGCCATATTTGAGGAAACCAATATTACAGTGGTAAGCGTGTTAAGTTTGTGACTTTTGTAAGGTCATAGGTAGTTTCTCCATTCTTCCATAGGCACGTTAAGCTATTGCAACCGGCTGCATATACTTTTTTATGATTGATTGTTAACATCCTCGAATCCGCACTGGACCCACGTGGTAAGTTATAGCCCATCCTCTTTATTTATATATTCTTTATTGCATAGACAAAAGCATTCTCTACCAGTCAACTCGAACGCATATTGCCATTTCGTGGCGATAAGAATAAATAAATCTGTTCTCTAAAAAACTATGATTGTAATAAAATTTACACCATCTAAGTATTTAGATTTATATTAATATTTGTATAAATGATTATACATAATTATATAAATACCTACCTACATACACATATACCAGGGGTCGGCAACCTGCGGCTCGCGAGCCACATGCGGCTCTTTGGCTGGGAAGCTGCGGCTCTTTAGTTCCGAACACAAATATTATTTATTTTATAAAAAAAATAACATTTTAAGCTTTCTAAATCGATTAACAAAGATTCGGCACCACTTCTATCTCTCAGCCACATAGTCTTTGCTTGTACCCGCTTTCACCCGCTCAGTCTGGACGAGGCTATTAAAGTACAAATTAGTGTTGTAACTTTGTAACTAAATGTTTAATTGTCTATGATGAAAAGAGGTTTGAAGAATGAGGTTGCTACTAGAGCGAAGATGACGTTGATGATCGGAACTATGATACAGAAACCTAGATTTCAAATAAGTCGGGGTTAATGGATCGTATAGAATAGTAAAAAGCATGCAGACAATTTGATTCGAGCCTAGCAGCGCCACAAAGACTCGTTTAGCTCCGAAAATATGTAACTTTGCTATTTGTTGCCATTCGCGGCTTCCTAGACTTATTAGGATGCCATTAAGAGATCACAAAAGTCTGCGGTCAGCGGACCGCTGGGTTGCCCCTTTATCGCAAATTAAAAGCTCTCCCATTTTTAATTGCAGTTATAAAAACTGCTTTTAGTTATAAAATTGTGATCAAACTCTATTTTTGTATAATAATATAATAAAAATGAAATATACTAGTCGAAATATCGATCCTAAAACCTATTCATAGTCATCTTTGCGATTTTTTTCTATCGAGCCAATTTATTGCAATTGATATTTCAGTTTTTAGTATCGATCATATGTTTAATAATCATAAAATAATTCTGATTTGATAAATATTAGCATAGCCTTAGAATAAAACTGGTTTGAAAATTGGTGATTTCGTATAATCTCGCCTTAAGATTGGAAATATGAAACTACTACCTGACTTTTAAAAAACTAGCGGAAGTTATTTCCCTGGAGGCATTCTCATACTGATAAAACTAATATAATATATCTAAGCATTAAGACATTATAAATAAGTCGTTATTAACAATAAAATGTTATGTTTTCCTATCAATAAAAATTATTGTATACAAAATGTACTTACAATTATCAATTTAAAATTTGAAGAAATATGTATTTCGTCGATGCAGAACGTATTCGTCAGTGAAAAATCGATCTTAGCTCTGATGAGATTGGCCACCCCTGGCCTAAAGTAAATAAATAATATTAAATTTGAATTTTTCAATGAAGCTCTATGACGTAACAGCGCTGCGTCTGACGGCGAGTTTGAGGTTTTATTTTAATAGAATAGCTGGAGCCTGTCTAATTTTTAAAATGGGTACGACATTGTCTATAAGATAAATAATATGTTTTTTTTTAGTATGTAATTGATAATAGTATACCGTTTCATATTTAATTTTGTTTCAACTGATCAGCTACTAATTGTGGATGAGATCGAGTACACCGGTCCCCGTCTAACTGAAGTGTTATGGAAATGCTGCAAATAGGATACCTTTAGGGTTGGCAATAAAAATGACGTTGTTTTTAATATGTTTTTATTTTCAAGATATAAATTATAAAAGGTCTTGTTTGTAAATTTTTTAAACATCTGACTCAGACCTCCTGAAATCCTGACACATTATTTAAGAGCACTTTATATAATACTATCTTGTCTTAATTTAACGACTAAAAATATTATATTTCTGTTTATGTTCAAGATTCTTCTCTAAGTATCACATTTGACGAATTTCAAAAAGGAGAAGGTTCTATGTTTTGATACAAGTGTAGACAGTAAAGGAAAATAAAAAGGTACATTTTTTTCTGGTAGTGTTTAGTATACCGTATTACCAATAATTACACTTTTTTGCTTACTATATTTATAATATTGTTTAAATTAATTACGAAAAAACAAATATTTAAGCTTGTTGTCACGTGACCACCAACAGCGCGTGACTTTACGCCCTTCTTACTCATATCAGAACTTAGAGAATTCAACCTTAGGCATACACAGAACGATATTAGTTTCAGAGGGCCGTGACGTCATAGTAACGCTATGACAGAAGCGTCATCGCGGGAAATTTTTAAATTTAAAAAAAGCCAACTGAACTTTTAAAGCATTCTTCATTAAGAATAGTTAATTTGTTTTTAAATTTTTAACGTATTATATGAATTATATTTTTTAGATATGTTATTAAATTAAAAAATATTAACCAAACGTATTTGAAAATACACTATTCAACCCAATTAAGGATCAAAATTCTATGCAGAATAAGTATGGATATGTTATTATAGCTTAACTTAATATTATCAAAATTCTAGGAATTTAATTAAACAGAAATTTGTTCATAGAATTTTACAAGCGACAACCCTATTAATCCCAGGTGGCGGATCTCAAAGTATTGAGTTTAACCGCTCCGACGAAAGCGATTCATTTTAAGCGCCATCCACCGCCAGTTTGACTTACGACTTCGGTAGAAATATTATTTTTTGTCCGATTTACACGAGTAATGCTAGTCATTTATATAACTTATTATATAAACAAAATTCTCTATTAAATTAGAGCTCTAATCTAGTTCTTTCGCTCGAGTATTAAAAAACCATGAACTCACTAAAGTGTGTATTATTATACGTTTTATGTATTTTTAAATAAATAACAAAACAATATTAACTATATTATAAAGTAAAATTTTAAGACGCCACGTCAAGTTACCACAGTATGTTAAATTTTTGCAATTGATTTTTTACATTTTAAAGTTCAAAATCGAGTGGGGCATTTTAATTTTTTTTTAGTTAGAAAATTATAGCGATTTATCTATAAAT